CAACATTGCGGCACCATCAGCATATCTAGCAGGCATGGTGACATGACGACGCTCACGTCGTTCTGCTAGCGATTGATTTTTGCCAGTGTTTAAATCAACCCCAGATTCCTCGCAATTAGAAATGCTCGAGCCATCTTCACTTTGACTTGGTAGGCTCTCTTCGTCAGAGATATTGTAGGCGGGTGCATCATTTCCAGCATTCGGATCTTTGTCGATACCCTTCTTGGCCGAGTCTATTGACTGGACGTGCTGCGATACCAAGATCTTTTTTAGTACGCTTGATGTACACGCGATGACCCTTCACCTTATCATCATATCCGATGAATATTCCGTGCTCACACTTCTTTCGGGTACCCATGGACTTGCTCTTGACATGAACCGTGACCCTTTGTCCCCACTTTAGTATGCGACTAAGGTTGGGCTTGTGTCCAGTGAGGGATTCAATAGGCGACATGTTTCCACCATTCGCACGTGTCGGGAGTCGGTTTCTTAGCCATGACTGATGACGTAGTGCTTCCGACCATAGGAACCGAGGAGCCTTGGCAGCATCAAACATCATAGCCCGCATACCGTCAAACAAAGTCCTGTGGCGCCTCTCCACCTTTCCATTTGAAGTCGATTCGTCTGGTTCCGTTAGTTGCTGTCGGATACCGCGTTGTGCACACCACGACCTTATCTTGTTCGTGTCAAATTCATTGTCGCTCCGAATGACCTTCACTCGCACGTCATATTGTCGTTCGAATCTTGTAATGAATTCAGTCAGCAACGGAAACCAGTCGGACTTAACACGCATTGGAAAGACTTCTCCATAGCTAGATGCATAGTCAACGACATGCAAAGAGTGAGTGCAGCCTCTGTAATCGTGAGGCTTGACGTTCGTCTTAATGTCAACTCCAATTACGGCGCCAATCTCGTCCGTTGGTGCTGATTCGGATGTGTCTGTTTGGGCTTTAGCACCTCTTGTTTGTTTCCCCTCGCGAAATGCAGCACAGTCACTTTTATTCTTGTCAGTGGTGTGTAAACCATCAGCCAATTCATGATTCTCGATCATCGCCACATCCTCAACGTTGACATGGCCGAGTCGAGCATGCCATTCCATGATGCTGTCATCAGGTTTCGCTGCGACACTCGCAATAGCTGATTCGACTGCGTGCCCATTGAGATAGCAAAGCCCATTGTCCCACGTCGCACAGCCAGCAATAACTTTGACTCCCGTGTCGTCAAGATTCCACAGTGACGCTCCTTGGTCGGTAAATGAGGTATGAATTCCTTTCTTCGCAAGTTGACCAATCGATAGCAGGTTTTTGCGCAGCCCTGGAATTACGTGCACGTCTTGCAACAGAATCTTGCTTTGATTTCCGTTGACATTGATCTCCATCACGATGTTGCCACACGTGGAAGACCTGATGGTGCGACCATCTGCGATAGTCACGGACAGATTGCATGCGTACTCGTTTTGCAACGCAAATCCAGTACCGCATATGTGGTGACTAGCGCCTGAGTCCAGCAACCATTCACGTTCATCCCTGCTGGATCTGAATGCCGCCCAGCATGATGCGTACTGACAGTCATTATCTTCTGTCTTATGGATCTCGCGAGTTGTCTCCACAAGATTAGCTGAGCCTGTTGGCCTTTTCTTCTTTTCCAGAAACTCCTTCTTGAGTGGGCATGTTGAAGCAATATGACCCTCATCCTCACAGAAGAAACAGGCTCGCTTAGGATACTTCTTGGCTCCTCCTGCACTGTACGCATCACCAGATTCATGTCTTGACTTCCGCTGGTTCTTCTCAAACTTCGGCTTGTCTCTTTCAGCACGCTCGTACAAATTCGTCGCCCCTTTTGGCTTACAGACGAAATTCTTTCCGTTTCCTGTGATGGAGGTCAGATATCGTATAGCTTTCTCGAGCTCGATCCCGTACTCCAAGCTGTCTTGATCAATCTTCGCCAGCAAGCTTCTCTCCTCTGATGGACAAGAGTATGAGCAGAAGTATTCAAGGATAATCTTGCTTGGATTTCCATCCATACGGCTCGTCACAGCTCTCATGTACTCAATATGAGATGTCCACGTTGTGTTGGTTCTCTTGGGCGCTTCAAGTAGCTTTCCCAGTTGAGACTGACTCAGCTTACAGCAAAATCGGTTCTTCATGGACCTGCAGACACTGTCGTAGTTGGCGGTAAGTCCTCGATCCGCGAGATACTTGAAATGGCCAAAGGCAGCACCGCGAAAGCACATCGCCATAGCGCTCAGTCGATGCTCTTCATTCCAGACTACGAGATCGAAGGTCTCGAGCGTATGTATTTGCACATCAAATTGGTACTTGAACGAGTCCCAATCTGCTCCAAGTCCTGAGTGTCGTTCTTCTCCGGTGAACTCAATGACCTTGAAGCCCTTCAACTTGGGTGTACCAACTGGACGGTATGCTGTAGACGATGTCGCCGGTGAGGCGGTGTGCATTGTCACATTAGAGTCGGTTTGCCTCGATGCTTGGGCTTGTGCTCTCAACTCGCGAACCTCTTGTTGCAAGGTTGCAATGAGTTGCATCATATCCATATGAGCATATGGAGTCATCGGCGTCTGATTCTCGGATGACGAAGATGGAAGTGGAGGCCCTCCATTTCCATCAGGTGTCCGAAACGATCCCATGTCTTCAAACTGGGTGGTGAGGTTTCTCGTTGGTGAGAAGATGTCATCCCCTTCATGTTCCCCGCTTGGGCTCATAACCATTTCTCTGTTTACGACGCGTCCGCACTCTAGCTTTGTGCGCGCCGGAGTTCTTGAACTCAGCAGCCGACTCTTCGCTGCTGGATGTAGTAGTACTTGCGTACTGTGAGGATAATTGTGAACTGAGAAATATATTGACGTATTAACCACTACCTCTGACATGCATTGTTTCCTCTCTAATGATCTTGCGTCTTCCCATGGACCTGGCATCATCATCGGCTACTACAACAATATATGTGGTTAACATTTACCTGGCGTGATCATAAATCACGTAAAGAGTTATGCGACAGCAACGGTCGATCTGCAACACACGCTCACTGCGATCGCTCGTTATTGCTGCTTGTGTATGTCAAAGCGCGAAGCACGACACCTTTCTGGTTATGTGTCATTCACTTTTTTTTACCCTTACTAAGTCTGCACATTTGGGCATCCGCCGACCTTGTTCTTGGCCGCCGTGTTGTAAGTTACGAGTCACAAGTAGAATGGACAACATGACCGTTCTCGTTTTAAATTTTTAGAAATCTGGCTAGTTTTTCCGCTGCAGAGGATGCATATCGTCAGTGATGATATGCTCAATCGAAACTAATCTACTTGAATCACACGTCAAGGGCGGACTGGGTGCTGTGTGCTTCGCAAGTCTCTAGTCAAAGGTCGCAGAATACACTCACTAGAAGGAATCTAGTGGCTTCTTAAAGTACATCAAACAGGGTGCAGACATCCCTCGCAACGTCGATCCATTCGGTCCTTGTGATCCCATATGCGACTTGTACCCGTCACCAATCGGTCCACTGCTTTTCTCGTCCACTTCTATCTCTCACGCATCGTTCAACACCCTTCTGTTCGGCAGCTACGCCTGAGCATGTTCATCCTCTTTCGATGTGATAGAGCAGCTCCAAAAAATTGACAGGGTTCCTGAGTAAGCAGGTTGTTATTGAGCTTAGCTACCAGCCCCTGCACCAGCCCACCCTCCACCTCAACTTCGACGACCAATTTTAGGTTTCCTTCATCTCCATAGAAAAGTTGAAGCGCAAAAAGCCTCGCAAACAGTCACGTGTAGTTGGAGGAGCAACTGACCGCTAGTTTACTGAACTTTCCGTCCACCATATACCCAAAACTATCCCGAAGTGACCCTCGATGCTTTGCATTTCTTCGAGCTTTTCGTTCGCTATTTCGTCGCACTGAGTACCGCAGGACAACAAACTGAGATCTTCCGTTTGCCCCCGCGATTAGCAATGACCATCGATCGATTTTCCCGGTCTGAAGTTGACGTGCTAGGCTTGTAGTACTTTGCAAATCACCTCTTCCCGCTTATCATTTAGACAGCATTGTCTTGCGCTTGTAGGCGCTGCGCTCAACATGCAGCACAAAAAATGTACAGATGTCATCTCTTGCGCGTTATGCAAACGCTTCTGGTATTAACATACACCAAAGTTTCTTTCTCCGAAAGTTAGCTCTGCTTGTCTCTGATCCAACACCTCCACTACTTCAGTGGGTACATCTTCTGACGAATCCAATCGTTGGCGAAGCACGGTCTCTTGTAACTTCGCTTCACATAATGCGTTGTCAGCAAAGTCATGTAGTTATCCTGACTTTCGGCAGCGGTTCCTCACCAGGCGGAAAACGTAGCCAATGTCAGCTTCGAGTAGTGACACCTATAGCTTGCACCGAGCGCACTGTCTAACAAAACTCTGCGATCGCTAACCGAATGTCAGGCTTGTCTCAATCTAATGACACGAGAAAATGCGACTACTTTGCGGGCCTGCGGTTGGTCGGTCATTCGCTCATTCCGCCACGGCTTTCTTTCGTTCGGTAAGCAACAGCAATCAGCAGCTTCACAATCAGAACTTGACTACAATCACACAAATAACGAAGATCATGGCGTCTCATGGCATGTCATGCAAACATGATGTGCTGCAATCCAACGCTGTTGTGGCCTCCCAAGCTGCAACTTCGTGTGCATGCCTAATCATGCTGGCCATTGTACTTCTTCAGATACGTGCTCAGCAAGTTCGTGGGGACGTCCAGTCAAAGACGAGACAATGTTGCCCATTTGGTCTCCGCAGTTGCATGATGAATCGAAAGTCGTGGTTGCTGCGCCACGATGACGACGGCCACGATTCGAGCCATCCCAGTCATCTTCCACACCACCAGGTACTTCGTACGTCATAACTCGCCATACATCACAGCATATTGCCACAACAAAATGCGCACAGAATCCTCAACACCACGCAAACTTCGCCACCATCTCCTTCATGCGCTTTCATTGACATCCAAGAGCTTATCGATCTAGCCCACCCCACATGTACTTGTAGATTGACGAAGCACCACTGGTAAGTGAGCTCGCGACGGTAGAAACTGTAGCCTCCACAGCTTCGACACCAATCTTGACGGAAGAGCCCACAGACGTCATGCCCTTCGACACGGTTTTCTCATTCGAATGCGCGTGCACGAAGTCGCTGAGCTTCATGCCAATGCGCTCATTTAACTTCCCTTCCATCCGCAACATCAGCGCTGTTGCTGCTTCGTCGTCCGACTGGCCTGGCAGGAAACGTTCGATGACAAAGGCCTCAAGATCACTCTGGGTGTAGTTCACTCCAAAGTCCGTAATCTCTGGAAGCGCCTTTACTACCAACGTAAGCATAATCATGAACAAACTCACGTGTCTCCTCAAACAGTTGAATGCAATCACGCATAGCTGCTTGAACTGCTCAAATTGCTGTGTCTGCATGCCCCCGAGAGCCTCGATCATGTAATGGTCCAACCTCATCGGAGGCTGGAGCGGCTTTGGGTCCTTGCCTAGAATGAAGCCGTAGTCAATATGGAACAAGTTCCCATCCTTCGTTAGCATGACGTTGTCGGCGTGTCGATCACCCACGCCCAACAAGAACGTGATCACCGTGTACGCAGCAAGGCTTTCCCTGAACGAGGAAGAAATGTCGCTGAGCGTGCGATGGCCGTTGTAATGGTGCAGGAAATTCAAGATTGTACCGTGGTCTCGAATGATGGAGTACAGCGTATGTGCATTCTCCACAATCTCGATGAGCCCGTCGAAGCTGCTTGTCGGCAGAACACGGTACGTTACGAGAGGAATGTCTAACCGAGTCTCTTGCTTCAAAATCAGATACATGACATTGATAATGTTTTGAACGATGGCGTCTTTCCGAAGATCGTCCCGCTTGTACATGAGCCGGTAGTGCGGCAGCTCTAGAGTGCGGCGACTCCATGTGCTTCGCTGAGATTTGGCGCCACCGTTCGCAGAGTCTTCAGCCTCTTCTTCCTCTTCGCGATTGACCCCCGTGCACGTAATGACCATGGGCGCCTCCGCACTCCGTTTCACCTCAATCTTTCCGTAATCGATTCCGCAAACTTTTACATGTGGATCCACAGGCAGTCGTAACAGAGGCCATTTTCGTCCTCGATTCGCTCCTATCTGACTAGAGTCGTCAGGCGCGCTCCCATTCATCCACGTTCGCAAGGATGACTTCTGTACGAATGCACACAAGATTCTGCGTGCATCTTCAACTGGAATGCGTGGTGGAATCTTCCACATCATATCCACTAGCTCCTGACCTCGAAGAAGCTGCTCCGCAATGTCGTCGCTGGCAGAAATCTGTGACTCAGCCAGTCGGCCTGTCGACGATGCATTCCTGAACTGCGTCAGAGCTAGAAGCAGTCGCTGCTTCATGCCATCGAATCTGCGGCGACAACTTGGGTCCTCGGCCATGACCGTGAGTCCCCAGTACAAATCGTAGCAAAACCGGATGTCGCATTGGGCATGGCGAATCAAGGCTTGCCCAAGCTTGCTGCCAACCACGTTTGACTCCACACTCAGGCTATGCAAAAGCACTTGCAAGTAGCTCCACCATTCGTTTTCCGTGGCGGTCTTCAGCAAGGCGTCAATTGCCAACGCACGTAGTCGATGATTGCGAATCGTTTCGTCCGCGAGAATTTCTAGTGCGTCGACACTACTAATTTGTGGCTTACACAGACGCGAGCACATCGTCAGCATGCACTTGTACTTGCGCTCCTGCTGCAACAGCTCCATCACCTCGTCCACCAGCTTCTTGTTTTCCTCGTGCTTTCGTCGCACATCAGCATGCTCTTCAAGATTGCCCGCTGTCGTCTCACTATTTGCGTACTCCATCTCATCCTCTGCCGAGAAGTCGACGGCTTTCACAAGCTGCAACAACCACTTTGTGTGGCCACCAATAAACTTTCGGTTGCGAATCAGCATCTTTGTTTCTCGCTCGGACAGGCGATGTGTTGGTAAATAGTACTGTATCTGGCGAAACATGGACAGGCACATAATAGTTGCGCGGTGCCACTTCCGACACACTTGGCCTAGCGTACGTAGCTCTCGCAAGTCGAACTCACACAACTCAAACACTTTTACAGTGTTGTAATGGTGTCGTCGCTGCTGGAGTGCACACGCACAATCGTCACACACGCGTTGCATGACACTGTCATCCGGCATATACACTGCATGGTGTGTGCTTGGGACCTGCAGAGCTCCGCTGCTGGCCAATGGCGATGACGAACTACTGCTCCCGGAATGTGCACGATTCGGCGTAAACTTGCCGATCACATTCGTCTCTTGCAGTCTCTGAATGTCCTTCAAAAAATTCTCCTGCTGCTTCTCGCGCGTCAATTCCATCGACTGAAACGTCGCGCGGGACTGTGAAAACGGCGATCGTGCCGTTGCGTCACGCCACTCGGCCCCGGTGGTTACTGCATATGGCAAGCTCGAGTACGACGTCAAGTACCAACTGATGTTGCCAATCAAGTCACTGGCATTCGTCGTCAGCGAGTTGTACGCCGGTGACACAGGTGTGGCCTCGTAGTCGCTTGGAATCACAACCCGTTGACTCGAACACGTCGCGCAAAAGATGCGGCCACAGGCCCGGCAATGGTGTTTCCGAACAAGCAAGGAAAAGACCGTGTGGCACTTGAAGCACGCACATACAGCATCGTCCTGGACCCACGACGACAGTCGTCGAGGCTGCACGAACCGGTACATGTCCGGTCCGAACTGTCCGTCGTCTCCATTGGTCCAGTCACTGGGCAACAGGCAGTCGATCGTGGTGCACTTCCTGTCGTCATTGTCGCTGTTTCGAGCTGGTGGACCCATTTCTTGTTCATGTGCACCGATTCCTCCGATTGTACCCATGTCGTCTTGGTCGTGTTCCTCCAGTATGTCTTCACTGCCTTCGTAGACCGAGTCGAGCATGCCGTTGTGTCCATAGACGGGCGGACGGGAGTCGTCATCCCGTGACGCAGCTGTCGTGTTTGTGTGATTGCGCGGACGCGTTAAGGCGGCAATGGATCGAGCGTTGCGAGCGATAGCGACTGGACTACTGCCGCGACGCTGTTGTTGCTGCTGGTGCAACGCGCTGCGGGCTTCCAAGACCTGTGAAAACGACAGATCCACCGAAGAGACAGCGCTCTCGTGGCTGTACATGTTGTAGAAGTGGAGAGCGAGCGCGAAGACGACGCAGACGCAGTCGCAAGTGGCGGCCGCGTGCTGCTGCAGATGATGGCCGGTGTCGAGAAGACAGTGGGTGTGTTTGTGCGAATTTCAGCGAATCAGCGTGGAAAGAATTCCAGCGAGCACAGAAGGCGGTTGCGACAAGAACGGTCAAAAAGTCAGCGGTTTTCGCTTCTTTTGCGCTTCTTTTGCGCTTTTTTTTCTTCGGGACGTGTGCGCTGGCATGGGAGGGCGGTATCGCCCGACGCGGTTGCCACGTCGTGGTCAGTCAGTTGCCACGGACCATCACTCCGGCCAAGCGATCTTTTCCAGCCAATCGAGTCACTTCAACTTGCTCCGCATTTCTCATTGGCGGAAAGTGGTATCGAGCGACTCAATCCGATGGCTCCAACGAGATCGAGCGAGGGGGGAGGAGGGAGGATATATCCACTTCCGAAAGACTCTCGAGCTCCGCATCAGTTTCGTTTGAGCCCGAACCGCAGCAACCAGCAAAGGAAACGACAGTTGAAAAGGCAACGCCCGACGCGCACTCGGCAACATGGACAAGTTGACGGAGTACAAGGACAAGATCTCGGCCAAGCTCGAGCAGTACGAGAAGCTCGTGGACCTCGAGAAGCAGACGGGCGTGGACAAGTTTTACATTTTCTGCGCTCTGACGCTGGTGGCTGGCATTGTGCTGTTCGTCGCGGGCGGCGAGGAGCTCGTCGTGGGGCTTGTGGGCTTTATCTACCCGGCGTACATGTCGTTCAAAGCCATTAACACACCTGGTCCCGTGGATGACACGCAGTGGCTCACGTACTGGGTCGTGTACGCGTTTTTCAACCTCACGGAATCCATTACGGACTTGGTGCTGTCGTGGATCCCCTTCTACTTTTTCCTCAAGGTTGCCTTCTTGGTGTGGAGCTACCACCCCAGTACTCAGGTATTGTATGCTGTGTCTTTTTTGTGGGTTTTTGAAAAACAGAATTTAACGAAATGTTGCTTGAATGTGCGCGTGACGGAGTAGGGCTCCAATGTGATTTACAATACGCTGATTAAGCCGTACGTGGCGCCGCACGTGGGTCAGATTGACTCGGCGCTCAAACGCGGAGAGGAAGCTGCCAAAGAACTGGCGGCCAAGGTTCAGGAGAAGTCGCAGTAAGGGCGCCACGTGGCGAGCGGTGTGCAAGTGTAAAGAGTGACGGCGCGCGCGGTCGGCGGCGCAGCAGGGACGGCGTTGCAGCTTCTTGTAGCCAGTGACAGTAGTGACGTGTCAAGTCACGTGTTGTTGATTGCGGCTAGAGCAGGAGGGTTGCGTGTCACTTGGGACAGATAGGGGTGGATGGATTGCAGCAACATAAGCGAGACGCTAAAAACATGGCGTGAACAGTGACGAGTTGTGTGAATACCGAGTCTTTTATGATCGTGATGTAAGGAAATGGTCTGGGGTAGGGTTCGATCCGCGGCACGTGTCGCGTCATTACAGTAAGTAAAGGCAGAAACGCGAATAAAATCGCGGATGGTGTTCCACTTGTAGCCATGTCGGTGTGATGGCATCAACGCGTTTCTAAGTGGTCAAAATCCACTTGGATCTGACGGCATTTCACCCAACGACAGGCGCACGTGATTCCGTGGACGTGATGGCGGTGAGCAGCAAGCCGCTGCCAGCGAAAGAGAGCGCGCTCTTCCGCTCGATCGTGGTGCGTCTCGTCTCTCTCTCCCTATCTCTTTCTCCTCTGTCCATGTCTCTAGTGCCCACGCACGAACGTTCACGCGCTCTCTGCTCGAGCGCCTCGCTCGCGACGTACTTACACATCTCACTTGTTTTCGTTATGGTATACTAGAAACACTACGAGCTCAAGCAATACAAAAAAGGACTGAAAGCAGCCGATGCGATCTTGAAAAAGTATCCAGACCATGGCGAGACGTTGGCCATGAAGGGGCTCACGCTCAACTGCATGGGCCGCAAAGACGACGCCTATGACTTTGTCAAGAACGGGCTCCGCCACGACCTGCGCAGTCACGTCTGCTGGCACGTCTTTGGGCTGCTCTATCGCTCGGATCGGAATTATCCCGAAGCGATCAAGTGCTATCGCAATGCGATCCGGATCGATCCCGAGAACTTGCAGATTCTACGGGACTTGTACCTGCTGCAGGTGCAAATGCGGGACCTCAAGGGCTTTGCCGAGACGCGCCGTACGCTCCTGACGCTGAAACCGAACAACCGGAACAATTGGATTGGCTTTGCGATTGCTCATCACTTGGTGGGCAATTACCAGATGGCGATTGACATTATCGACAAGTACTTTAGTACGATGGACAGCGCCAGTGTCGCCAACTATGAAGACAGCGAAATCCACTTGTACCAGAACCAGCTGCTGGAAGAAGCAGGAGAGATTGACAAGGCACTGGCCAATTTGCAGGCGAACCAGCGTCAAATCACCGACACGTTGGCGTGGCGTCAGAAAAAAGGGCAGCTTCTGCTGCAGCTTGAGCGGTACGACGAGGCGCGGGGCGTGTTTGAAGAGTTGTTGGCTATCAATTTCGACAACTACGAGTTCCAACGCGGACTGCAGTGTGCGATCTTAAAGCGCAGAGATTTGTACGCTGCAACGTCTGCAGACCGCAAAAAGGTGTTTCTGCCGTCTGAAGTGATTGACTTTTCCAAGGAAGAGGACGGTCTGGAGCTCGAGAAGGCCCTCTCTGACTTCTACGCGGAGAAGAAATCGACGATTGGTGCAAACTCGATGATTCCGTTACGCTTTCCTATGGATTTCACGCGCGGCAAAGACTTTGAACAGTACGCAGACGTGTATCTCAAAAGGCAGCTGAACAAGAATGTGCCGTCTCTCGGTTCCAATCTGAAACCGCTGTACGCGGACAAAGGCAAGGTCAAGATACTGGAGGAGCTCATTCACGGCTACATAAAGACCTTGGAAGCCAAGAAACCATTGGATATGGGCGACAATTCGATGGCAGCTAACGCGACCGAACGAGTGTTGCTGTGGACGAACTATCTCGCCGCGCAGCACTATGACCGCTTAGGCAACCATGCCAAGGCAATGGAGCATATTGAGAAGTGCATCGAGCAGGAGCCAACGCTGCTGGACTTCTTTCAACGCAAGGCGCGCATCTTGAAGCACATGGGTGATTTGAATAAGGCCGCCGACGTAATGGTAGAAGGACGCAAGTTGGATTTGGCAGATCGTTACATAAATAACAAGGCCACCGAGTACCTGCTACATGCCGATCGCGTAGAGGAGGCAGATGCCACCATAGCTCTGTTTACTCGACACGAGGGCGATCCGCAGCAAAACCTGTTTGACATGCAATGCATGTGGTACGAGATCGAGTGTGGCAAGAGCCATCTTCGCCAGGAGGAGTACGGGCTTGCGCTGAAGCGCTTCTTTGCTGTTGAGAAGCACTTCAATGACTTTGTGGAAGACCAATTCGATTTCCACACGTACTGCATCCGCAAGATGACGCTGCGTTCGTACATGCAGTTGTTGCGTCTCTGCGACGAGATATACGGCCGCCCGTTCTTCGTGGAGGCTGCCCACGGCGCCATCGCTTGCTACGTGGCTTTGGCAGACATGGAAGTGGTGAAGGCGCGGAATGAAGCAGAAGCTGCTGCAGCTAGTGCTAACATGTCTACTGGTGACAAGAAGAAGGCGAAACGCGCTCTTGCCAAAGCACGCAAGGCCGAGTTCAAGAAGAAAGCGGAGGAAGAGCTGAATGCAAAGCTGCACAAAGAAATCGAGGAGAAAGAGCGGGAGGCCACCAAGACCAATAAGGCAAAGGCGAATTCCGGCTCATTGCGTCTGAAGGACGACGACCCACTCGGTGAGAAGCTCACGCAGCGGCCTGCTCTTGAAGAGGCGTGGCGCTTCGTTGCGATTCTCCAGCGGTACGCCGCAGCGGACGTGAAGACGCACCTGGTTGCATTCGACATTGCTCTCCGAAAGAAGAAATTTCTATTGTGTTTGCAGGCTCTGTTGAAGGCGCAGGCGCTGCTGGACGTGTCAGCGAAGGCCAAAGAGGAATGGAGTGCTCGCCACGCGTTGTTCCTCGAGGGAGTGCACGAGGTGACAAACCCCGTTGTGCTGAAGGTGATCAACGAGAAGAAGGCAGAGCTCAAGAACTAGAAGGTACTGGAGGGTCGTAGCTCGAGCGGTGGACGCGGTGCTGTGCCGTTTGGCTGGGCGCCCAACTTGGCTGGAGAGCCTGCACGTCTTCAGCATAGAGACGAGGTAGAGACGGAGCTGCAAGGTCGTCACTGTGCGCTCGTCGACAGTAAAACGAAATAGAGTCAGCGCGGTGCGTGCTGCGCCTGCCGCAATGGTGAGCATAGTCACTACTCATTGCGTCCTGTCCGTCCTGTCCGTCCATTGAGACGCTCGAGTTAGTTTCCAAGCAGATGTGGGGCACTCGACGTGCTCCTGTGCTTCAATGGCGCTCCTGTCACGTATCGGTCTCAACGACTTTGTCGTCATCCGCTCGGAAGCCTCTGAAGCTCTATGTGATTGCTGGCGAAGCATCGGGCGACGCGATTGGCGCCAAAGTTGTTCGGGCGCTGCAGCGTCAACAGCCGTCACGAGCTCTGGCCGTTCGAGGAATTGGCGGGTACGACACAGTCGCACAGTGTGTCGTTTATGCAATGGCACTAGTGGTCACTTTTCTCTCTCTCTCTCTCATCGATTGGGCCATCGCATAGACCACAACTGTGTGCGGCAGGAGAGTTCACGTCGCTCTTCCCAATGCACGAGCTGTCGTACATGGGGCTCGTGGAGATTGTGCCGCACCTTTGGCGCTTCCGGGTACTGTGCTGCAGCAGTGTGTCAGAGCGTGATCGATATGCACTTTTTCGCGAAACGATGTGATGAGATATGATATGAGGCGATATGATGCGATGTGGTATGACGTGATGGCTGGTGCAGCGGCGGATCCGAGATACGCTGCGTGACATTCATCAGTTCCAGCCCGAGTTGGTGCTAACGATCGACTCGAAAGGCTTTGCGTTCCGAGTGTTGAACGCTCTGCACGTGGACGAGCGAACAACGGGTCACACGCGCAGTAAAAAGGTGCATTACGTCGCGCCGTCCGTTTGGGCTTACAAACACCGAGACGAGCGAGACGTTGCCAAGCTTCGACAACTGCTGGACGCGCTGTTTACGATTTTGCCCTTTGAAGAGAACATCTTTGACGCTCGTGAATCGAACGAGCGCTTGGCAAGTGGCGATTGCGACAAGCTCAGTCGACGATCGTGGTGCCACTTTGTGGGTCATCCGGCAGTCGAAGACTTTTTGGAGGCTACTGGTGCTTACGACAGCGACCAGCGCTGTTTAGTACCGCAGGACAACTGTGTGTTATCAGGCAAAGTCGCAACAGGGCCCGATGCATTGCTTGATATGGGTAACTACGATGGCACTCTGTTGTCAAAAGGTGGTCAGCAGTTCCAGAGATTGGCAGCAATGGGTCGTGAACCAAGAGCCCGAGCCCGAGCACGACAACAGTTCGGCGTTCCTGTCGACGCGTTTGTCATCTGCGCTCTCGTTGGCAGGTACAAGCTCGGGTCTTTATCGCCTCATCGTGTATACACACTCCTGTGCCCCGCAGTGCCAGTGGTGCTCACATTGTCTCGTTGCTTCAGCCGCGTGAACGAAGTGGAGAGGGTTTGTCGTCTTGTGCTTGACGCCGTCAAGCAATTTCAGCAAGCGACGGACGTGCAGCGTGACCAGCAGCAGCAGGTGGAGACCCTTGATCGCAACTTGACACGCTTTGGAATGCAAGCGGATGAGTGGTACTGACGCGACTGCTTGTGACCTCGTAGATCTACGTGGTCTTTCCCACGCTTTCAGTGGTTGCGGAACAAGTGAATGCTCACATTTGTGCTTGCGATCATGACATCACTTGCCGCGTACTTACTGATCTGGACGCAGCCACTCGGCTTCAGTTGTTTCAGGTAGACACTGCAATCCATTAGTATTATACGACCGTGCTCCAACGTGCTGTATTTCCAGAGCGCCGATGCCGCAGTCGCCGTGTCCGGGACGATCGTGCTCGAGACAACGTTGGCTGGCTTGCCCACGGTTGTTATATACCGGGCCAACTGGCTGACGGAAAGGATCGTGCAATGGCTAGCAGCAGTCCGGTTTGTATCGGTGCCCAACCTTTTGCTCGGAAGGTACATGCACGGCTGTACCAGCTTTTTGTTTTATCTTCGACGAGGCTTTGAGCTTCTGTTCTTGTGCAGAATGCTGATACCAGAGCTCCTATTCAAACACTGCACGGCACCAAAGATTGCCGACGCTTTGACGTAAGTCGTGCTTGGAACTGGTCATTTATTGCGTTTTTCACGTGCTGGTGCGTGCACAGCAGGTTACTGCAGCGTGATCCAGACAAGCAAAAAGACGCATTGGAACTGGCAATGGTGGCGAGCACTTTGACCAGGTGGCAGGAGCCTGACGAAGCTATTGCTACAAGCAGTTTGCGACCGATTCGGGCAAGTGACTTGGCTGCAAAGTCTATTCTCGACATACTTGCAGAAAAGGAAGCGCATTGACCCAGACTTTGCGGTTTGGACAAGTGAGACAAAGGACCCGCTGGACGAATGAAGTGTGCATTGAATTCAGGTGATGTATATCACACATGCAATGGTTGGAGCAGAGCGGCAAAAATGCCTCTAAATCGACCTGTGTCGAGATGCCCAAGTGGACATGACAAGCGAGAACGTGGCACGGACGGAGCATGCTGTTTGTGCGGAATGTATCCCACGTCATTCGACGCATTGCAATGAAATCGAGCGCTTCGTGAACATATCCCAAAACTTGATACCCAGGTCTGACACAAGAGCCAGTCAAGCTGCTTGTGAAGTATGGCTGTTCTACATCGTCCGATCGAACTGATCCCAACAAAACAGAACATGTTGTCGTTCAGTCGTTTTCTTTCTCGCTGTTCCTGCTCTTGTTGCTGTCATGAAGAACCCTGTGTGACCTCCGACAATGTGCCACCTATGTTCACAAAACATAAGCTTCACTTTATACTTCTTCCGATATAGTTTACTCGTCGTGATCATTTGTCGATGCCTTCGCGACTTTTCAAGCGCAATACAGCTCATTGATGAATTGGAAAAACTATAGAACGCACACTAAAATGAGAACAACATAATGTATCAAACAAACAAAACATTTATCACAATGTACCCCAAGATGGAAAAAGCTAAAACGAACTTTACAAACAGCCCAAAAATGAAAAGCGCACGAGTTCTGTAAACCACTTCGACACATAGCTAGAACCATTTAAATACATCCACGTATACTTGTTTCAATCCTTCTCTAATTTCGCTCAAATTCTTACTTGTCGGGTCACTATAAAGACCAGATTGGTTTCACCTTTGTTAGATTATGTGTTGGTTCACCACACCCACACTTGCGTACTAGAAGGTAAAAAGAAGACTAAATATAATGAGGTTGTACTGACTGGTATTCTTTCCACTCCTAACGGTGTTCCCTGTTCCCATATAACGTCCTTACCAGTCCTAACGGTGTTCTCCGTTCCCACACAACTACCTGTCTTTATCCCATACAACGACCTGATATGTCCATGTTCCTCTTTGTAACACTTCCATTTCCAACAACCTTCATTGTCCAGATCATGTGGTTTGGCGTCGTAGTAGAAGTAGATGTCGATATGGCAGTAGTCTGATTCTGCATAGAATGAGACAGCTCAAGTGACGACGGGGTGACCCCAGTACACGTAAGTGACACCAGATCGAGACAATTACAATATTATCTTTATTAGTTATGTTTCCCAGTATTACATGAATTATACGTATAGTATAACTTAACTTTTTCCTCTTCTTTTTTCTTTTTTTCGGTCAGATGGTTTACTAATACCATGTTTACTATGTTCAAGACCCATGGTATAGATGCGGAGCCATGCGTCCAGACCCGGTTTTTCCGGAGAGAAACGCGAGCTGTACCCATACATGAATGAAGATCCGTCTGGTGCACATTCAAGCAACTTGATGCAGGCAAACAGCAATGCGCCCATAATGGCAGATGCCTCTTTCCAGTGCTCCCTGGTCGATATCGAGCGTAGTTGGCAGACGAAGGAGGTTCAAATGCTCTGCGTTGTTTTGGTTAGGTCGATCTCGGCAGCATTGAAGACATATTCTAAGCGTTGTTGACAAATTCCCTTCCAAACGTGTTCAGCCACTCCCCGGTCCTCCTGACAGCAGTTCGTCAGTATTGCCATTCGGTGCAGTGGGACGTGAAGAATTGCTGAGTTCTCTGTCGACACGCACGCTCGCCTGTCCGTTGACCAACCCGTTTGTTCCAGAGTGCTTCAGCGTACAAGCACTCCCAGAATAAATGATCCGGGGTCTCCACTCGCCCTCTTAAGGTCGGTCTCTTCCGACAGTCGTCGTTACTCGGATATCCCAGTGTGGCGGAGGTTGAGCTGCCAAGTTGCGATCCGATACTCGGTCTAGACTTGCAAATCTGTCAGAATATTACTATGATCCCAGAATTGCCGAGGCGTTTGGCTAAGCACTGCTCGTTGCCATTCATCCGTGCTTACACGTGCGTCCAGAAGATCCAAAATGACTTCAAATGACTGGCTAGTGCTTTTTTGTGAATCCCAAAAGCTTGCTTTACAAGCTCCGCTGTGACGAACTCGTTTGACATTGTGTCAGGGACCGACCACGAAAAACTTTGGAGGAATGCGTGCGCTTCAAAGACGAATCCCCTTGCTTGAATTTCGTATCGGAGTAGCTGCTGGTCGGCTTGGGAGTCGACTTGGAGTACCGGAAGTGGTCCCGTGAAGCTCCAGTGTATGCCATCGCCCTGCTGGAGCAGATTGACGTGCTTTATCGGATTATGCGTATTTTTCAGGGGCTGCCCACGACAACTCTACCTCCCTGACAACTACAGTCGTATGGCGCTAGACCCGATTGGAGCATGTCGCAGGAAGTGGCGGATGGCCCGCAGATCTGATCCGATGGGATGTCTGGCGAGGAAAGCAGAAGAGCTATAGCCCGACGCCGTAATTTTGCCATAAAATGGTGTCGAAGTTCGTGGGCAGGCCTGGGTATCGTGATGACAAATTCTGCAGGCCCCGTTCGTACGATGCTTGGTCTCGTCAGTAAACATACTTCGATTCTGTCATATACGGGTCTGGTCATCATGTCGTTTTAATGATTGCGGATACATGAGCTCACTGACCCGCCAAACGTGAACCAAAACCGCTGCATTCACGCTGGCATGTCACCCGCACCAAGCACTCGTGTGCGGCAACCCACGATGCGACTAGGTCTACCTGGTCCGGTGCTGGGGCGGGCCATACTCCCAGATCCGCTGTAACGACCATCTTGGAGTTCGGGTCATGTGAGGATGTCGCCGGCGTCCTCCCATCATTGAAAAAACTGTTTGCTCTGCCGCGCGTGACATTCCTCGGTAAGCCCATTGGCGACAGACCGTACATTACATGTACGGGCGTTGGGTGAGCCTGAGAATCGCGTGCTTCGTTCGTTTTGACGGCTACGGACATATCAGCAAGACCGATGCCCTCATCCTTGTCGGTATGAAGAGAAGGCCCGGGTTGACTTGGCGCCAACTTTTATCTACCGTCGTTGCGTGTGTCTATCAGAATTGCTTATATAAATTGGTCCCTTCTGTCATTGCCCACTGAGGTACGCCAAAACGCACACCGTAAAGTGCAACGAGGGAAGTACCATAGAATTAAAATAATTACCCGATTCTCCACACTTGTCGTCACTTTTGTTGCGTGAAAATATAATGTTGAGTCTTTTGGATGCGCAGCGCCCAATGCTGATTCAATGCTTCTCCCGTTCCGACCTCATAGCCCGCATTTCGGGTCGTGCCGTCTAGCGGGACGATATCATGCCTTCGTAGCTCTTGAAGTCACCAACCGATTAAAAAACACGATTTTGCTCGTGTCCGGTTTACTATGCAAGCTTGGATAAGCGTAGAAGATTTGACAAGACTGAGTGCATGCGGATGCTTGTCGGCCTGCTCGAGGAAAAGTGTTGAGTCGTCGAGAAATGCTATAAATCAATTCATTTGCCTCGGCATCCTCGGCTTTTGCAGCCTCCGGAGCTTTGAGTCCAACTTATATGCGAAACCATATACCTCTGCACCAAGCAAATATAGCAGGGGTGCTAGCAAGAATCCCTGATGACTTCCGGACCGCATCTGCAAGGCTGATGGCTTGCAACCGTTCATGACAAAACTAGTCTTTGTGCCGTGTGGATGCATCGAATGAGGTCGACAAAGCGTTTTTCGAGCATATAAAGATGCAGAGTCTCGTACATAAACTCCCGGTGCAATGTATCATAAGACTCGAAAAATTATAGGAGTAAGATAAACTGTTCTGCCCAGCGGCCAGATCTTGGTGGTCGTCTGCAATCATTAACTGAGCCATCATCAGTATAACAGTCCTCATCATTCTACACCTCAAAACGAAATCCAGATGCGAGTCGCTGATATATCTGAATAGAAGTTGTTGTAACGGATAGCCAGCACCTTCGCAAATACTTTGTAGCTCGTTTGTGACAAAGGAATCAGAAGGCGATCAATGGCGTCATCCGTTTTTGCCTTGTTCCGTATTAAGAATGATATCCGCCTCGAGAAAGGTGGGAAATAGCTCTACCCCGGCCATTATTTACCTCTCGATGTTGACCAGTGCCGATACCATGTGAGCCTCCGTATCTTTATATTAATCTTTCTTAGACCGTTCGTGTAACGGGGTAGCCCGTTACATGATATTTTCATTGAGGATAAAATGACAATAAAGAATATTACGACGAATATTCTTCCAACAATATCACAGAGCATGATAATATTGTTGAAGATGACCGAAGGATATACTCATTGGTTGATATTGTGATGATATCAACCCACCAATCGCTGCTAGACGCGCGCAATGGGTGGTGAGTAGACGTCATCATACGTTTAGTTAGAATAATATGATTAAGTCAGGATATACAGTGACATAAGATCGATAGGACTTAATTATATTAAAATCAGTTTTACGTTTACAAGAGACTAGCGTATTCACTTAGTCTCCTTTCCTTCCTCTGTGTTAATGCAACACTTATCAATACATTGACTATCACTGTTGTCAGTGGAAGTGAGCTCCGTACTGGTAAACCAGTACGTTGTCACCAGTGCCCCGTTACACCTGGTAGCACTTGTAGTCCGTCCAAGGACCACACTCGCATCGCCCAACATGAACACGTTGGACGAAGTCGAAGGCGACAGATTTCACGGAACTCGTGAAAGCTACTCCCATTTGATCGATGTCGAATGTAGTGCGATCGAACGAATGAGTTCGACCGTTGGCGAGGAAGATATCTAGACCACGATATCCACAAGGGATAGAGACCAGCAGCATTCCGTCATTAGCAAAATATTGCAGCGAGAAATTGACGTGTAGCAAGCGCAGGTGACCTTGTTGCAACAACAAGATCACCAGCGGACGGAAAAACTGAGACAGCATCAGTCTCAGTCCGCAAGTTCGACGCGTGAGTGTCGACAGGAG